CAATCTCTTGCATGTTTAGACAGAAATAGTCCCAGTGCTGGAAGCTGTGGGACTTTTTCAGTCTAAGCATGCATAGGATTGTACTTTTGATTAAGATATTAAAAAGTCAGGCTGAAATCCTAAACACAATTATTAGGGAATAAATCATACTGAAATCAGTAGGCTTTATGACCAAGTAAATATATTTAGTCTGTACAGAGATGAAAGTTAGGGAAGTTAGGATATACATTATAGAAGGCAAAAATTGAAATTGTGCATTTCATGAAATTTTAAAAGCAGTTATAATATTGTTAAAAATATAAGAACTTAAACTCAATTACATTTTAAACAATAAAACATTTTAAATCAGAAGTACTCCCCATCCAACACTGGCCTTGTGCTTTATTCCACATTAGCAAAGCTATTAACTCTTCAATCTTTCTCAAGATATGCAAACAAACAAAAACCCTATGCCCCTACTACTCTTTACTTTGATCAATTACCTTTATTGCAATTTGTAGCAGTTAGTTGCTTTATATATATATAACCTATGAGTGACCATGCACTCATATTTCTTCACAAGAGCAGTAAAGTCTGTGAGAGCATTTGTGGTAGTTATTAGACAAAAGAGCAAGGTATGTACACCATAGGGGTGTTTCTGAACATTTAAATAAAATATAACTCAAAAACTCCTTGGAAAATCATTTATCCACTGAAAATTTGTAATGCATATCTTGTTTGTCAAATTTAAGCATTTCACTGACAAAAGATGAGCCAAAAAAGGTTTATACTAAAGTTTTTCTAGCAATAGGGCATAAAACTTAGTCTTGGTTAGCAATAAACCAGTACATAAATAACTTTCAAGCGTAAGGGTATCTTAAATGATGCACTTAACATGGTGAAAGTTTATGGCTTGGTTTAGTTAGAACAAGAACCATGGTTTCCTATTTTGTGAATGAACCTTGGCAAGCTTTGGACTCATAAGCTTCCCTTCCCCTTTTCTTTCATGTGACAGAAGAAAGAAATAGCTTTTGACTTGAAGATGTAATTTCCAACGATGTTGAACCTGGGGAATTAAGGATTATTTAAACTATGTCAGTGAGAAAAATCTGCAAACAAAACAGTTTCAGATCTGGTTTGTTCTCATTAACCAGAGTTTAAAGCAAGGGCACAGAACATCGGATCCTCCATGACTATTTGCCAATTTGGCAGGAGCTGATGAAAATTGTTGGATTCCACCAGGAGGTTCACAACTTTTCCATACTGGTTTAAACAAACCATCATTCCCCAGATAAAAAATAACAGGTGACAGTGGTTAGTTTAAAAGCAGACACAATTTTTTGTGTGTGATGTTCAAAATGATGCACAGAAGTGTACGCATTTATGCATACTGAAATGTATGAAACATTTTGAGAGGGCTGGAGGGGCTGCTGTTGAGAGAAGGGACAAGATCCCATACCTAAATCTGGATTCAGTTCACTGCAAACTCAGCTCTGAGTGGCATGTCAATTGATAATCAACTAGCTCAGGCTACAGATGATACTATAAAACTAAGAAGAGAACAATACATGCATTGAAGCTAACATATTTCAAATTATAGCAATGGCTATGTTTAAAGTTGCATGTATATGGGTACATAAGAATGAACATGAACACATAAATACATACAGGGGGACAGAGACAGAATTCAGACCTGAACATTTGGCTTCCAAAGGGAGATGCTACTCCTGGGTGACATGAATATCTATTTATTAGATATCTCAAAGGACCTGGTGCAACAGCAGGAAAATGTCTAATGTTTTACTTTGTACTAACAACATCTCAGTATTTGCTTATAGCATAATTGAAAATGTATACTGAAAGTGCATTCAGAATCAGGATTCCTCATCCAAACAACTTTGGATCAGTATGGATATTAGTAACTTGAATATCCATTATTCGGACAATACCTTTAAGTAGGCCTAACAAAGTAACATAGTATACACACTTTCAAGTGCTCTATAATTCTCCATAAGGCTAGGGAATAAAGAAAGTAGAGGAGGGGAAAAGTCCTGGTTGCTAATGTTATGGTATCTGCTCTTTATCAAAATTGTGTGATTCAGTGTCTGCTACCTTCTCCTTCATTCCATCAAGAATTTTTCAATATCATCCAGGTCTTTTTATCTTTTCCCCTTGCCTTATCATTTAATCTGAAGAAGAGTTCTGGAGGACCCAGAAGCATGCACAGTATATTGTGACTTTCTCCCAATGTGGACTTTGGATTATTTTTTAAATAAAGAACACAGCTAGTTTTGCTTATTAATATGAACTTTTTTCTTCAATGGATATTGGAGATGGACAATTAAATATTTTCTGCTCGGTTAGGTTAACTCAAGTTTGCAAAAGCTTCGTATTACAATTGACTACAGAAAGCTACTAAATACCACTTCTTCCCTTTCTTCTGACTGGGGATGGCTATGACACTCTGTTTGCTGATTCAGAACCCAGTTGAACTGCATTTATTCATGGCCCCTGACAGCCCCAGCTGTGCTATTAGGAAAGTATGTAGCACCAGCCAATTTTATCTCCAATTTTCTGCTGTGATATTACAAGCATGAAATTGAGAACGGGACACTTTTTAAAACTGTAAAAATATACAAACTCTTACAGGCATTTATGACTGCCTTTCAGTGTGATGTTGACAGATTTCCACTGTAATAGGAGGTCAGCATGAGCCCAACTTTCTAGGTTAGGAAGCTAAAATGACAAAACTGGAGATGTTGTACTTTGGGCATATCATGAAGAGGCAGAACTCATTAAAGAAAACAATAATCCTAGGGAAAGTCAAAGGCAGAAGAAGAGGAGGAAGACCAAATATGAGATGGATCAATTTTATGAAGGAAGTCACAGCCTTGAATTTACTGAGCAGGGCTGTAGAGGAGGGCTTTCATTCAAAGGATTGCCATTGGTTGGAGATGACTTGTCGGCACTTAGCAACAACAGTGGAAAATATGAAGCTTTTGCAAACTTGGGTTAACCTAACAGAGCAGAAAATATTTAATTGTCCATCTTCAATATCCATTGAAGAAAAAAGTTCGTATTAATAAGCAAAACTAGCTGTGTTCTTCATTTAAAAAACAATGGAAGGAAGGCTAAATTACAGCCTAATTCTTGACATGGATGAACACATCAGCTAATTCAGATTAGAGCACAGGACTGTTCAAAATCCTACTTCTCCCTGAACTGCTACATAGAGCAAAATTGAAAGCAGATTCCCTCTTCCAATGCTCAGTTTCCCTGGGTTTTCCAAAACTGTACCAGTGGGCACCAATGTGTCCATGAACTCCCTCCAGGCTCCATGAACCTCTTGGGTTTTTTTTATCTGTTAAGATATTTTAAATGAGTATTTTTAAAAATTGGGATACTAGATAGGCTTTCTTCAGCACCATCTTTATTAGGTTCTGACTTTCACTTGGGTTTCTGGGCAAATTTTTTTAGTCTCAGCTGTTTGCCTTCTGAGAAAAGATATTTTCCCCCTCTTTTTGGTGACCAGTCACATGCCCACCATGGCAGCTATTTCGTAAGAGCACCCATGACACTAAGATTTCTGAATGTACACGCAGAGCCCAAAAGGTTGGAAAGCCTTGTTTCTATCCTTTAAAATGCTATCAACACAACTGGAGACCATTATTTTAAAAGAAAATAATGATTGTCCTGTCCAATTAAGTAGAACCTACTTGGAATTTAAATAAATGGAAGATCATCCAGTGCTCTTAGGTGTGGTGAAGGGACAATGAAAGGAGTATGAGAGTCTGTGGAATGTGGGGAGTAAGGAAAGAAAAGAAGTGATTGAAAAGCCCTCAAGAATAAAACATGGTCCCATCCTGCCTAGAGAAGCAAACACTACAGTACACTTTTTGTATTCTATAATCTACCACTCCGAGGTCAATTTGTTTTGCATATGCATTTAAGAAAGTGTTCTTGCTATATTTTGATTCAGTTATAGGATTCAGAGAAGATATTTTCACTTGAGTTATTTAGGGTGAGAAAACAATGGCTAACCAATATTTAATAAATATTCTAATAATGTTTATGACAAACCATATTTGTAATGGGAAAGAAATGTAAACAAACATGAGATAAACCGTAGCTGTGGAACCTTGCCGCAGTTCAGCAGGGGCTTCCACCTCAGACGTGGATCTAGGTGCAGAGGAGGAACAGGTTGTGTGTGCCACAGCTGTGGACAACCACAGGCCTGATGATCCAGTCCGCCTGGCCTCCCACAGCCTGATGAACAGGGGAAGGCGGAGAAGCTGAGACGGCTACTCTTCCTCAACTGGAAGACTTGACCATGACAGATGCACCTGCTTATCAGTCAGGGATATAATCTCTGGCAACAAGGCAGCTGGAATAGCTCTGCAAAGGGAGGTGTTTTGGGGCGTGTCTCCTACTGTCCATCAGCAAAAAGAGGACAGGACAGACATACCATATCCATAGGCTGAGGGGCAGATTCCCCTGCCAAGACCAAATGTCTAGTACTGATTCATAGAAGCCCATCGCCTGTATATAAACCTAGGTATCTTCTTATAACCTTTGTAGGTGACAAAGGATCACAACCCTGGAAAGCTTTCAGCCTCTTGGGGGAATGGGAACATGGTGAGAGGTTACTGTTGGGAAATGGATCTGCTGTGTTGGGCACTTGGCTCTCCATCTGGAGTCAGTATAAACTCATTACCCCAGGAAAAACTATGAGTCCATGAAAATATTTTATGATGACTTGTGCCTTGATTAGTGAAGACCAGGGCAGAATGCTATCTCCTACAACAGAACATGTTCCTGCAAAGGACAGCTAGGTCATCACAAATTTTACCGCTACATAGTGGGTTAAGCATACATGTGTTTGATTAAAGTTCTTATACTCTTCTCATGTCATGGCCCTTTATCATAGATTTCACTGTAATTAAAATACCTTTATCCACTCCATTAACATGGCCTGTTCATTTTTCTTAAATGGTAACTACAGCCAGTACAAAGTGCTTGTTCTACTTGATCCGTTGAGGCATGTCACTCCAAGCTTGAGATTTCTTTTTGGCAAGTTCCATCCAGGAGGGTTTATCTGGAGAAGAAAGACTGACCTTCTTAATTGGCTTTGTATCTTCTTTCTCAATTGGTCCTGAAGACTGAACTGTGTGGGAAAGAAACATCCAAACACTTAGTAGCAGCTTGGTGTTCAGCAAACATAAGCAAGATTTTTGACCTATCAGCTTAATTAACCTGCTAACACAAAAGTACAATTGGATAACGCTGTAGAATCCTTAAGAATTCTATCCATGCTGCACAACCTTCTAATAAAACCTTCTACAAAGGTTATTCAGTGGGGAAAGTAAAAATGCCCACTTCATTATATGCAATATACATCAAGATCATTCTGCTGTTGTGATAGAAAAGAACATTCTGTATTATTTCATGCAAGATGCAAAAATAAATCTGGGATTTTCCCAGCTCCAATCAAGTATACATTAGAACTAGTTCCAATCCTAGCTTCCTAAGTTTCTCTGTTATGAGGCAAACATTTGCAAACACTATCAACAATCACACTTCATGTTTTTAGGTAAAAATGAAAATATAGGAAGAGCGCTCATTCTCACCCAATAGCATGTGAGAGAGGCCCACAGCCACCAGCACTTTTGCAAGACAGTTGCAAAAGAAGCCTCTTAAGAGGACTGAATAAAAACTGGGAACATTGTTTGTATGATAAAGAGACTGTATGGGCCTGGATCTATCTCAGTATTTTGAGTGCTTGTTTTCATACCTGGACTATGATATGACAGTGAGCTGCCTCTTGGCAAGGATTCCTGCATATCCGTCTTTGTCTCTTTTTTCTGTTCTTCAGAAGAAACCGTGGGTGGCAAAGATGGGGATGTGTTCCGGATGAAATCTGTCTGTTGCCTCACCAATTCCTAAATGAAAAAAAGGGAGGGGAAGAAAGCACACACACCATGGTAGCAATTTAAAGTAATTCGGTGGATAAGAGGCACACAGCAGGGAGTTCGCACAACGCAAGAGACAGCAATAGACAGGGCTCTTTTGTGCAACAATGACATAATTTTGCCATGCCATCTGAGCTGTAAATACTCCATAAACATTTAATGTTCTGTGGCCTCTTCAGTCTACAGTATTTTTGGGATTCTGAATGATTCAGTTAGAAGCACTTGGTAATGGGTTGCCACAGCAAATTATTCAAGGCTTCTGCTTCTCTTTTGCTAAATGAGGACAAATACAAATCAAGTTTGGCAATGGAAAGCTGCACATTTACACCAACAGTCCCTGTTCTTTCCAGACATGACAGACTGCTGTGTTTATCTTTGCCCCAACATTATTTTTAGCCAAAGCAGCCTTGTAGGAGGGGGACTACAAACCTAAGCAAAGAAGTAGTGAGGCAGAGAGAAGGGTCGCTTAATCCTTTTGCCTGCAGCCATCTTTTGTTCAAGCTAGTATCTTCCCCTGGATATGTTTTATTCCCAGGATAAGAGTATGCACAATTATATGCTTATAATATACACTTATTTCTCTGTCAGAGAAAGATAAAGATGCATCAGAAAGGCATGTGATCTGCTAAAACAGCAAGAATTCACAGACATGTTGAGGTTACCTTGATAAATCAACTTCCTTTAGGACCAAACCTGCCTCTGGGACAATCTGCCAGAACTTCTATGAAACTAAAAGTGGGCAGTTAACTCTTAGCAAATATTGCATAATATGATGAGCTAGCATAAGTATAGCAATCTGGTGTAGGTTGATTGTGGTCTTGGATGCAATCCAAAACCACTTTTTGCACATGGAAATACAGCTATAAAATTCAGGCCATGCCTGTGGGAGTCTCTGTTTATTTGTCTATCCTTAAAGGACTGCATAATTCAGTATCACAATGCAATGTGATTTTATCAGAAAAACTATATGTAAGAAATATGATAGGGTATTATTTTTAAAGCAGCTGTACCATTTCATGTTGTATATTCTGCATAAAAAGTTTTAAATATAGATTCCAGTGCTGGCAACAAAAACCAAACAAAAATGCTGTTTGCTTATTAGTCTTTTTCCTCTATAAACTGATTTATTTGGAGTTCTGGAGGTCTAGGTTCCCATTATAAGTCCTTGCAAAGCTTATGTTTGCATCCAAAATCTAAACCCCCCCCCTCAAAAAAAGGGTAACTTTCTTTCTTCCCCAGATGAATCATAAAATGTATGTATTCATGAGCCACTGAACTGGTAAACATTTATAATTTCAGAGCATGCCACCAAATATGCATGCAATACTTATGAGTTCTACTCTCCCTATTGGAAGATTAAAACCAGAGACTTTTTAAGAAGAAAGCCCTCATTACTGCAAGTAGGCACAAAGAGCCCTTCCATTAGCTGGACTCCGAGGCACTTTCAGAACTGTCACTGAGAACAATGTTTGCCTTCCTGCATTTGTTAACACAAATAAAAATAGTAATGCTAATTACAGTGAACATTTGATTTTTTTGATTTTTTTTGCCTCCTGCTGTTGGGTTTACAGTACAGAAGGGATCCACTGGAAATTTAAAAAGACCCTTAGCTCTGGATTCAGCCTTTCTGCAGTGGAACTTCTCCATCTTCTCCCTTCTCCTACAGCCTCCAATCTGTATCCCCTTCTACAGGAGTTTCTGCCATTTGCTGAACTATGCCATTGCATAAGATATTTTGCCAGCAAGTGACAAAACTTGTTGGATTAATGAGCTATCCCCCACAGTGTTTTCACTGTACAAAACAGAACGTTGCAGAGGTAAGCACTGCAATATGATACAAGTATGTTTCCTTCATTTTAAAAGCTTTCGTGGAGATGAAAACTTTAAAGCTGAAGAGGGAAGCACAAAGTACACACCTTCTGAAAGGAAGTGCTTTGTTTGAAATGTTTCAAATATTGGTGGATAATTTGCTATGAAAGGGAAAAGATGGCCTCATACAACATCTTTCCTCTTTGAAAGCGTTGAATAGGCACTTGTGCTACAGCGATTTCTCTTGCAATTCTCTCTGACACACATGCTAGTAGCGGGAAGCACTAGTTTTGTAATTTGAGTACAAACATGGTTTATCCATCAGTGGAAACATGACTGAGAGGGTAGATGTTCGTCTCCCCATAAATGAGAGCACTCTGAATTTGTCAGAAGAGCTTGTAAACACTCTTACTGATAATGTCAAAAGGTTTAGGCCTATCTTGTGAGCCTGTGTGGCATAGCAGGGGAGGTGGATACCTCAGCCTCTTACAAGCCAAATCTGTGGCCAGCCTTCCTGTCATCACAGCCCCCAATTCCCTAATTATTTCCCCCTCTGAAGTGCCCTGCAGCAGGTTGGTTATAGCCTCAGCTGGGGCAGCTTTGCAAGTGTCACAAGGAGGTGCAGGTGAAGCACTTAAAGTGTACCTCACCTACCCAATTGAAAAGGGAAGCAGTGTGCCAAGCGGAATTCTCCTTTATCTTTATTCATTGATCAGAGGTAAGGGGGGGAGGGTTCCTGGCCCATTCCCAAGCCTCCCCCTCCCCCACAGACCCTTGGTATTGAAGCATGGGCATGAGGTGGGGCTTGGGCAGGGAGCCAAAGCTGGATGGGAAGTGTACGTGGGTCAGAAGATTCTCCACCGCTGGAGTGGAGGATTTGACTCAGAAGACTCCTGGTACAAAGTGCAGTCACAGTAAATAATCGCTTCTTGGAACAGAGGTGCTCTGCATCTGTCAATCCTGGTTCAACTCACAGGAGCCAGATAATTTTTACAATGAGTTGCTGCTTACAAGAGTTCCTAAAGAATTATTCACAACCAGGCAAACATGAAGACTGTCATTACAGTGTCACACACAAATCAAACAAGGATGAAATGTATCACCTCCATTTTTAACTTCTCCTTCACTTGTTTTTCCACATCTGTTTTATTGTGAGCCAACGTTTTTTCTTCTTTCCCAAGCTCCTTCTCCATGAGCCTTTGCTTTTGTTTTGCTATAGTGATCCAGGCTGGCAATGTGTGACTTTCAATTGCTCTTGCCGTGTCTGCAGTAATCACAGGAGAAGGCACACTCTTCTCTGTTGACAGAATTTCGGAAGAACATTATCAGACAGGGAATATGTGGGCTGCTGCTCTTCTATTTTAGAAACATTCACCAGGGACACACAGAAAGCAAACCTGTGAACACTAGAAATCACCCATAGCTATGGAGAAACCTGCATACATATCAGAGAGTTGCTCTAGGACCCCTGTGCCTGTGAAAGAGAAGCAAGGCTCAGCAGTCCAGAGGTGACAGATGAAAAGCCCAAAGAGGTAGGCATTGGACAGCCAATGGCTGTAACTGCCTGACCTTCATTGGGCCCCAGTTCTATGGAGCTGGAAGAACTGAGGGGAACAAGGCATCAAAGATGTGACATTACTTAACCAAGAGCTTGCTGAAAGGTCATTATATATTACCCACTTACGGTCTGGATTCCTCAATCAATTATTATGCACCATGGTAACTTTGTGAATGACAAGTAATACAAATGTAGCAAGAAATTTGATTTGCACTGATTCTGCAAATTATTATTAAGCTTATTATTATTATTATTATTATTTCCATATATTAGAAGTTCTCCTCCAAAAAAAGGCTCAGGGTGTCTTACGACAAGGGCCAAATACACAAGATATCAGAAAAGTTGTAGCAGCTAAAAACAATTTAAAATGCCAAGACCCAATAAAACATATGAAGTCCTATCATTTGCCTGGGAGTAGTGCAAAATGTTAAGTGGAAAGTTGACAAAGAACAGCTGACAGTATTGTTGAAAAGTGACAATGTTACTGGGGGGAGTATTCCACAATTAGGGGGCCATCACTGAGAAGGCTCTCTCCCTTACTGCTATCCTCCATCACCCTTCACAGAGGCGGCACATAGAGGACTTCAGATGATGATCGCAGCATATGGGCAGGTCCGTATTAGGAAAGGTACTCTAGCAAGTATTGTGCTCCCAAGCCACCTAAGTCTATAGTTCAAAGCTAGCACTTCATACTCTTAACACCTCTGTCTGTTAAGGAAGTATGGTTCTGGTGTAAGATCTTGCTAGCAAGAGTCCCTGAATAAGGTGGATTATTGCCTGACCTCTAAAAACAAATCAATGTTACTCACATAATATGGAGAACAAAAGCCATTCTCCCCAACCCCCTAAGCCACAGCCTCCTCCATCAATCACGAGTTTACATGATCCTTGTTGTGGTGATCTCCACTGGAGACAACACATTTGTGAGCTAAGCCCGGGCTAAAGAGCTAGAGAGAGAAGCTCATAATATTTTGTATACTACCACCTTTTCATTTTAGGGAGTATTTGTGACTCATCTATAATAAACTGATTATACAACCAGCTCACCACAGGCACCTGTTGAGCCCAGAATGAAAGCAATTAGGTTTGCCACATGCAAAACAGTTGTATGAACTGACTTCCTCCTTCTATCTCTTGGTACAACTGCAACGCTGGCTTTTATTTCTTTAAGTGTTTAAATTCATTGCATTTAAATTGGGATTTCACTTTGTCACTGTATTTCAGCATCTTAACAAATGAACTGGGTTCACAATTTGTCTTGAGTGAAAGTTGCCAAAAATATTTCAAAACATATTCTTTGTCTTGCTATTTCATTACATTAGAAGCAAGACCAAGAGGGGGAATATGTTATGGTTGTTCTTTTCTCCTTGGGACCATGATCAACACAAGAAGCACTTCTAAAATTAAGAAGAACGAATTCATATTTTTATTCATAATTGAGCTAGACCTGTAAGTCTCCATCTTGTGGCTGAGATAGCTAACAACCCACTGGGCAGCTTCACATGATACTATTAGCCACACGGTGGAGCAAGCTATGCAGGGGGCTGGATCCGATGGCCTTCTTGGCCCCTTCAAACTTTAGTATTATGGGACCATACAGTTTCACTTATGCCACCTTACTCAAAATGTTCCTGACAATTAGACACATCATGAGTGGAGTGATCCCCTTCCCCCTCCACTCACCTTTGGTCCTCCTGTTTGTAACTCAGGGGGCTCTGCAGGAACACTGCTGTTTTCCCACTCCCTGCTGCTGCCACAAACTATTTTGGGCTTGCTCTGCCTTTTAATTGTAAACTTTTTTGAGGGTAAAATCCCTGTTTGGGGAGCCACAAGCTGCCCCTCCTACAGTACCTTGGAGATGCCTGTGGTTACCTCCCTTTAAAAAGAGAAGACAATGCCCATGTTATATACACAAACAATTGTGCTTGTATTTTTTTTAATGCTCCAGGGCCAGTTAGCTCAGGAGGTCCTTGAGGCTGGCCAGGGGACTGTTTAGATCCAGCAGGTATCCAACCTAAGTAGTGCCTATCTTTGCTGCTGGTATTTCTTCTGTCTGCGAGCCTCTGATGCATCTGTCAGATACTGAACTGTCAAAGACTTGCAATGCCCCAGGAGACTGCTCTTTGCAGAAGGAGGCTAATTTCCCACAGTGCAACAGGATCTCAGATTTTTCAGGGTGAGATCCACTGTCCTAGGACCCCCTCAGGTTTGCAAGTGTCATGTGGATGTTCAAAGCTAGAGAAGATTCCCTCCGATAGGAACTCTGCATGCCTGCTTGCCAGGACAGATTTTTTTTAACCCCTTCCAGGTTCCACTTCAAATATTGAGGTTTGATGCTTGACAGCCCATGCAGTTAGTCCACATTTACTTGCTGCCATGGGAATTTCACTCATTCTTGCAATTACCCAAGGTGCCATCAACAAGGAGTCTGTAGCAAAACTGAAGGACCCTTGAAACATGTGAACATACCTGAAACCCTTCAGGGATCCTACTGGAAAGGTGGAGAATTAAAGAGGTGCCTCCCAAATACACTATTCTGCAGGTTCTTTGGGTTTTCTGAGGGATATTTATGTGTCCCCACATTATCCTTACTTGCAAAAGCCCAAGATTGCTGAAGCATCCCAAACTATCCCAAAATTCTGCAGAAAAGCTTTTGTCCGCCTGTGTTTCTAAAACAGATTAAATTAAGCTCGTGCAAAATGTTACAGCATTGCTTTTTGGCATGTACACAGTGTGTCTCCCAGCAAACTTCCATGTACTCTGATGCAGAATACCTCATTCCTAAATTGCACTATGTGTAAAAGTTTTGTGTGACCAAGTTACACATAGCAGTAGATTAATGTATTTAAAACCAGAACAAGGAAAAAACAAGGATGGGAAGAAATTTTAAAAAGCAGAAGAAACAGGTTCTTTCTTTGTGAAACCTGTTTTTAAAAATTGGGCCTGAACTCCATTTTTTACATTATTTTGATAGCTCCAGATATAAACTCACTGTGTTAGCAGTGTGTGTAGTTTAAACCTAAAATGGCTCATACCCATGGTGGCTGCAGTGACTAACCTCTGAATAATTGCTTGTTATTTCTTTCTCTCCATTCTTTAGCCTGACGCTGGGTCACCTTGAATGATTCTTATTTTCAAGTCATGTGGCAGTCTAGTGACTGTATGTGACTCATTCTGCTAATACAAAACACTGGGGAATACATGCATCAGGGCAGAAATCAGATTCCTTGATGCGAAATCTTTATACAGTCTGAATGTGGGGGATTTTTTTTTTTTTTGGACCATCACTTCCAAAAATAGACGGACTTCAACTAATGAGCAGTTCACTTTATTCTGAGATTACTAGCAAGGCTTGGTACACGAGGAGTCAGGACTGGCCCTTCCTTAGACAGGGTGAGGCCGCCAACACTGGGCAAAAGATTTTTAAGAGGCACCAAACTGTCAGTCCAGCATATTAGTATCTTTTTATTTTGTAGGGCTTAAAAGAAGCACCACCTGAATTTTCTGCCACGGCACTGGTGTTCTTTTCTCTTCCAAAAGAGAAAACCAATGCATTTCTTTCTATTAGATCTGACTATCTACAAACAGTAAACATGCCTGCTTATTTGGGCTCACTTTTATATATTGTGTCTGGATTTTGTAGAATGTTATGGTTCTCTAGGTTTACAGTTTAAAATCTTAATATTAAAGCCAAGCAATACTGAAGTACTCAAAGCACAATTAGGGGAAACAGAAAACAAGAAGGGGGTTTTGTTGTTGTTTTGAATGAATATAAAAAGCTTTCAGAAAATGATGCTATTGTTTTAAAATGTGTTTCATATTTCATCCTTGCAGAAGAATGAGTAAATGTCATGCTACTAAGTAATTTGGATGAAGTTATTTTCAGCCACATTTTTGCTTCTCATTCATGAGTAACAGGAAGTTAAGGCAGACTGTGTACCATTATTTTCCTGTAGTTGAAAGATGTCTTATGGTGCTCTAGCAAAAGAAAAGGAAAATGCAATGTTAGAAATTATGAGTTAAAAAAGCGGTCAGTATCATGATGCCATGAAATATCCTCCAAAATCTCAGATGAAAATAGACACATGTGGGTGCATAGAAGATCTCCATTCATGCTGCCTGACCTGAGTGTACTGTGATTACACATTGCTCAATATAAGACTGCATTCATATTAATTCGCTTACTAATTCTGTATATATCAAAGAAGTTCAAGATGTAAAGCATGATTTCTCTCCTTCCTTCAATTTATCTTCACAATAACTGTGAAGTTAGGCTGAGAATGCAAGACTAGACCAACATTATCTAGCAAGATATGTGGCTCAGTGGGAATTTGATCGGTGCTCAACACTGCAAAACAGATACTCTTAATGTGCAATCCTATGCATGCTTAGACAGAAAAAAAGTCCTACAGTTCCTTGCATTCTCTATGCCTGGGGCATGTGGGAATCAGACAAGCTTCCCCTGTATAAACAAACTTGCATAGGATTGTGCCTTAACCACTAAACACTTCTCCAATTTACTCCAAAGTAGTTTGTATATATGTGCTACTAAACTGAATCAACTCTTCCGTTTCTTCTTAACAATGCTGAACTGCATTGTCAAGCTCTCAAGGACAGTCTTTACAGAATAGCTGAAACCAGCTGCAGCTGGTGAGTCAGGGACAATCACTTTATAAGGTCTTGTTTTTTCAAACTCTTATTTTTTCCCATAATTCCTGCCTTTAAAAAGCTTTTTATCTTAGTTACTACATTTCTTCACCACCCATCAGATCAAAGGATTGCTGGGATGTTTACAACACCACATAAATCCAATTAATAAATACCATAATACAAGAAAACATGATACAATAATCTTTCCCACCTCTATCACATCTAGGTCTCATTCAGAGGTGCAGTAAAATATGGTAAAAATGAGAAATCTAACTGTTAAAATATTGGGTAAATTACTTTGCTTGGTGCCAGAAGGAACTGAGAGTGGGCACGTGGTGCACCTCTTTGGCCTGCTGATTTGGGATACGCTGCTTTTACCTATGAATTTAATTTTTTATTGAGGATCTAGAGCAGGATCCAATCCCATCACTGAGCTAGTATTAATAAGGTTGCAGTTGCCAAAGCATTTTGGTGGCAAACCTTACCACCACTTTGAGCAACAAAGTGCACACAGCTGAATTTGGCATTAAACCAGTTTGTCTAGTAAGTACTAATAGCAACTACAATTAGTATCTGCTAAGCAAAGTCAAAAAGCAGTTATTTGCTACGGAATTATAGCAGTGCTGTTTGCTGCTGAAATTTGTTGATGTGGCTCCCCATCAAAAGCATAGGTGCAAATTTTTCCCTTTGCCTAGCAAGCGCTAATGGTGTTGCAATAGAGTTTTGTTTACACTAGCTCTTTGACCACACTAGATACTGCCTATAATGAATAATGTTACTCTATTATGGGCACAATGTAATAAGGGTACAGTGGGCCTATATGGAAAGATCCCCGAACTTCTTTTATTTCTTACCACCACTCAGTGTGAACAGATAGGCATGCATAAAAGCAACAGATTAAAGCAATTTAGGGAAAAGGAGTTTTGTTTTTGTTTTTAATGACCCTGATATCCCCTTTTTCTGCCTCTGCTCACCTAAGTCATTTCACTTCTGGAACAAAAGATAACAGAAGGACATTCTGTCCTTATTTCTCTTCCTCCTTCCAAGCAGACCCAAACAATTCCTTATTAACTAAGTGATTTATCAGTCTAATGCAAGCCAGTCTAATGCAAGTACAAATAAAGCATACTGCAGAAGTCAGTAACAAAACACACAAGCTTAGTTAGAATCCTCACCATTAAGGGAGTGTGACCTATTACTGAGAAACTGATTCCAAATGGAATACGCCTCCTCCCTTGCAAGCTCAAATTACCAAGACGTACCTCTAAGGTGGCTCCTCTTGCCTCACAGCCAGTCCCTTGGAGCACTTGACATTTCTTAGATGGCCTGCCCTGATGAGCTGGCACCATCCTCTAGGCACCATACTTAAGTGATGGCTGATCCACCCCCCCGCCCCCATTGACAGGCTCACTTTGTCTTCTCACGGTGTCTGAAACTGAGTGGGTCTCAACTGGCTTATCCGAGTCCACTGGCCTGGGATCCTCAGCTGGCCATGCCAACCCTTCTTCCTCACCTGAATGAGAATCTGTTCCCAGATATGAAGGGTCTTTTGCAGCAGAAATGAGCCCAATCACTACACATTCTCCATAGTGGCCTGACATGCTGAAGAAATCAAAGCTTTATCGAGTCCTTCCAAGGTCCCTTTGGGACCTACACAAAGGCTGCATTCACACATAATGATAAACCATATGCACAGATCTCTATGGCCAAAATGCAGAAACCACATGGAAGCATGGTTTCCAGGTTCAGACATGAAAACTAAGCCATGGTGAAGCACAGAAACCACAGAACAAGCCATTGTTTCTCTCCAAGGTAAGACAAAAGGATGGACCCAAAAAAGCCAATGATATGTGTTATATCTAGAGAGATTACTACAATTTTTTAAATAATTGTTTAGAAATACAAGTGGATTTTAAATTGTTTATAAAGCTGAAATAAAAAGTAAAGAAGCTAGGAACAAACCCAAGGCACCCAAAATGGCAGAAAAGAACTGAGGAAAATGGTGGTATATATTCTAAGGGGGAAGGGGCAGGACTCCCACCAAAACAAGATTAGCTAGAGAAATTTTTTTTCCCAACAACAGACACTGTGCAGGCGCAGAGCCCTAGTGTGTGATGTGCAGAAACCATGAAAAAGAACAAACATACTTTTGTTGTATGGCTTGTTATGTCAAAACAAGCCATACCACTGTGGTTTCTACCATGGTTTGTCATTATGTGTGTTACAACATATAATGACAAACCATGGTAAGATAAAACCATGCATAAAACTGTTAAGAACATAAGAACAGCCATACTGGATCAAACCAAAGGTCTATCCAGTCCAGCCCTCTCCATGACCACATTGTTGTGAACTAGGTGTTCCCTCCCAAGCAAGAGGGAACTTTCCAGCACTTCTTGTCAGTGTCATTATTCTACATAGAAGACTCTAAGCATTCACAAGCCTCTGAGCATACACAAAGAGATGCTGAACCTTCTCTGCCCCCCTTTACCCAAAATTTTGCTTATGAACCCTCTGGGGCCTGTCTCTGGAAGGAGGGGTGCTGTGGAAATGGGCATGCTTGTGTTCCACACTCTAAGCCCCTAATTGGGCCAGCCTGCAGCTGTGCTGGCAGTCCCTCGGATTCATGTCTTCAGGAGGCTGGTGTTCTCCATCCAAGAGACTAGCCATTTCCAAATCCCCTTCCTCCTGTCTTTCTTCTGCTTCATTCCCACAGGCAGGGAGACTGGGCCCCATGGGTGTCCTTGAGCTACTTTCATCCAGAGCAGGCTCAGACTGGTACTGAGAGATCGAGTCTGCAGGTGCAGGCCTGTCTGTTAAAACAACAATTCCGTTATCAGAGTTTGAGCTCTGAGCCTCGTCTGGTTCAGCCAACTCCACATCATCCTCAGAGTCTGAGCTATCAGTCCCACCAAAACAGGCCGCTTCTCGTGTGTGCCTGGGAATCTCACCAGATTGCACACAGACAACACACAGTAGCAAACCAACTTCCCAGAGGATCCCTCAAGCAGGATGGGTACAAGACCTCCTCTTGCCCAAGCTCCTCAGCAACTGGTGTATGCAGATATGCCACCTCTAATAAAGGAGAAAGCTGTCTTCAATTCCCTTTTAAAGTCATCCAGCATCACTTCCTATGGCAGTGAATTCCATAGTATAAATATATGCTGTGTGAAGTAGTACATCTTTGCATCTGTCCCAAACTTCCTACCAATCAGCTTCATGGGATGAGCCTGGATTTGAATTTTGAGTTTCATGTCTCCCTCTGTACTTTCTTCACACCATGCAATATTTTAAACACTTCAGTCATGGTTTCCCTTACTCACCCTTTTTCTAAGTTCAACAGTCCCAGTTGTCATAGCTGCTCCTCGTAGGAGAGCTGCTTGCAGCCCTCTGATCATTTTTGTTGCCCTTCTTTACTTTTTCCAACTGAATAATGCCTTTTTTCAGCTAAGGTGACTAGAACTGAACACAAATTCCAAGTGTAGTCACACAAAAGATTCGAACAAAGAAGAAAGATTTTGGCAGTTCTGTTTTCTATTCCGTTCCTAATTATGCCTAGCATGGGAGTTTGTTTTCTTCACAACAGCTGAGCACTGGTCTGACATTTCCATCAAGCTGCCCACCACTACTCCAAGATCCCTTTCTTGCTTGGTCACTGCTAGTTCTGATCCCATCAGCGTATACTTTCATGCTGGAGCAAAAAATCCCAACTTCATTACTCTACACTTGCTTATACTGAATTGTATTTGCCATTTTGATGCCCATTCTCCCAGCTTGAAGAGATTCTTTTGGAGCTCTCACCATCTCTTCTGGTTTGAACCACCCTAAAGTATAGTATCATCAGCAAACTTGGCCAGCTCACTACTTACTCCTGATTCCAGATCATTGATGAACAGTTCAAAAAGAATTGGTTTATTTTCAAACTAAAAGAACCTTGTAGGACTCCACTGGTGACTTCTCTCCATAAGGAGAAATTACCATTCCTACCTTTTCTTCTCTTCTTTAACCAGTTAGGGATACATAAGAGGATCTTGTCTTTTATTCCATGGCTGCTTACTTTGCTCAGGAGCATTTGGTGAGGGGCTTTGTCAAAAGCCTTTGGAAGTACAAGAAAACATCTACTTTGGAAGCCCAAGTAAACAAAAGCCCACCTATGTGCTTATTGACAGGCTTACAGTTCCGCTTCTCTTGCGACTGTGAGGAGGTTTTACTACCTGTGATCCCCTAGCAGGCCTCCAGAAGAATTCCACTAGATGTCCAAGAGACTTGACCACAGGCTTCCCCTGTACACCTGGAACACTGTTGCTTCTTGATTTTGGCTCTTGTATGCCATGTGCAAACAAATGCCAGAAGTATTAAGCGTACAATAAAAACACTATCAAGTTCTTTGGCTCAAGGAACACAGCCTGAAGTGTTCAAAAAACAGCCAAATGCTTCTGTGCATGCATAGTGAAGGTCTCAGATTTTCCCATTTTCCAGTCTGTAGCTAGAAGAATATGGGAAACTGCCATATAAGAACCAAGTCAAACTAGCCTTGTATAATCTATTCTGATCTGCAGCAGTTAGTCGGGGTCTTGGCAAAGGTTGTGTTCTACCACTGAACTGCATCACTTTCCATGAGTCAGCGTGGGTATGCCTGCTTAAACATTAATATAATTATAATTCCCCCTCCCCAAAAGCTCCTGAGCTGTGAAGAAACCTGATTCAAGAAACATTAAGAACTGCCTCCCACACACCCCCACATCCCACCCCATAAGCAATGTGTATGTAAGACATTTTATAGTATATGTGTTGTCCTCACAGCTACTGTTTTGTCCTTCATAGCTGTTATTTTTTGGAAAAAGATCCACTAGATCAGATATAAAAAACTCAGGGTTGTCTTACCAGGCACTTCAGAGGGACTTGGTTTCTTCTCCATATTTTTGTCTTCATTTTTTAATTCGGGATATTTGGTTACCTTTTCCTGTTTTTCTGTACTTGCACTAGTGCCAATAATAACGACGTGCTGCAAAATAGGCTTCCTTGGCAATGGAGGTTTTGTGATACCCTGCTCAGAAGACTTGGGCTTAATTTTGAGGCTTTCATTTAAAAAGCAACTGATATTTACATCACTTGTCTTTCTGGCCTCTATTTTTTCACCTTTAAGTGAAGACAAAGGCAGTTCCTCTTTTTCTAAATGTAACTCTGTACTGTGTCTTTGATTCTCCTTTGATTCTTGGGGGAAGCTGTCCTTGTATTTCATTGATAAAGACGTGGATCGAAGTTTGACTTGAAAGGGATTTTTGTCTTCACAACTTGATTGGCCAGCATTTGACTGCTGTGGAGGGCCACTAGAAGGGCTATTCCGTGAAGGTTTTGGACTCATGGCTGGGACCAATGAGGCATCCACCACTTTGTCTAATGTTCTACCAGCGATTTCTGATTCTGAGGGGCATGCCTGTGAGTTCGTGCAGCTTTCTCTCGCTTGAGAAGTTTTTATCTCCACATCCTCTTTCAACTTCTCATTCTTCAAGGTGTTTTTAATTTTAGCCTGCAATACTTGCAGGGCTGGTGGATTCTCACTCTCTACAGATTCTGTGTTCACACTGTTAGTCCTTGCCCTCCCCCTAGCTGATGACACAGAAAATTTTCTCAAGGCACAGAGGTCATGGCCTTCTTTCTCTGCTTTCCCTCCCTGCATGAGCAAACCAAGTACTGGTGGGTGAGGAGTTTCTTTATCAGATCCAGGCTGCTCCTGAGTTGACTTTCTTTTGTCTGCTTTCAAGAAACGTGCTATATCTGTGTGTGATGATGAAGTTGTGCCTGACGTCCGAACGGTATTTTCAGGGTCAGGTAAATCTGAGCGCTGGAAAGAATTTTTTGGTAAAAAATTGATGGAATTAGATAATGAAGGAGAGCCTTTTACAGTTCCCTTGTTATAAATGTCTTCCGCCAGTACTTCTGCATCCTTCGGTGCATTTTTTTCTCTTCCATGTAATGTAGAGACTACATCAATTTTGGCTGAGGCATTCTTATCAGACAGCATGCCATTTTCTGGTGGTGTATCACAAATATATTTATTTTCTTGATTTGAAATACTAAGCGACATTACACTCAAATTCCCTGGGAATATATTTAACATTTCAGAGTGTTCTTGGTGTGGATTAAGATGTGAGATACCTGTATCTTCTTTAGGGTCAGAGGGTGTTGAAGAGGATACAGTGTGAGAGACTCTTTGCATACTTTGGCAGCACTCTGGATTATTTTCACAAGGAGGCAGGTCCAAATCAGAAGTGGAGGACAGCATGCCAACCTTTTCCTCTTGATTACTCAAGTTATGCTGAAGGCCTTTCGACATTTCAGGTTGCTGAGAGCACGTGGCATTTGATGGAGCTGCTCCATTTGTCAGCTCCCAACAGCTGGAACCCTCATGTTGGTAGGTAAGTTCAGTCGCTATGTCTTTCCTGCCATTTTCCTCTTCTTCAAGAGTGCAGCTCAAATCATTTTGCGATACTGACATGTTTCTCTGCAACAAATGAAAATATTTTGCATTTGTTCTCTATATCACAGCATTCTTTAATCACAGCTTTACTTAACTTGCAAAATGGCCAGTGAAAAACAGTTCTGAACTCTCCCACCCCAAAAGACAACCCCCCTACTTCTGCTTTTAGAAGTGACATACATCAATTCATTTTTCTTTTCTACATTTTAGAAATTATTGTGAAATACAGAAAAGTGGAATCTGCAAACCAGTATTCCTCTCCCTCTCCCATCCCCACACAAAACTAAGCACACAGAGCATGCAAAAGGTGAGTTACGTAAAATGGTCTGGATATTCATACTTTCTCCCAACTAGCCATGGTAGTCTGGTTTTTACTTTCATTTCCTTTTAAAATTCAGTGGGTCCTCAGTCCATTTTCTTTACAAGCTGTGAAGAAGCTTGTAAGCTTTCCACATTCATTGTAAGCTTTCCATACAAGCTTTCCATACAAGCTTTCCACATTTATTGTACTGCATTCTTCTTTCTTTCTTTTTCTTTCTTTCTTTCAAAGTAGGAGAAAGGCTTCGGGGAAGCTCATAAATCATTTATTTTTGTGCATGACAGTTTTGATATACCTTCAAAAATGCTTTTGTATAAATGAGTTTAAGACTGAAGCAATGCAGAGGCTCATCCCACAGCAATCTCCTTAATGTGCGTTTTCCTATAGTTCTTGCATTTACCTGGCTATATAATTGCAAACTGTTCTGGCAACTGATGATCTGAATGGATATGTTTTAAAGCAGGCTTTGCATTCCCCTGAGTTACTGTTTCTGGTTGCTATGATATTTTACAAAACAAACTGACCATGAAATTCAATCACAGCTAAGGAAGAGGGGAAGAATTACACACAAAAATGTGACATTATAGAAGAAGGTCAGGCACAGGCATTGAAATGCAAATAGAATGATCACTGAAAAGGGGGCAAGTTAAAGTACCCAGTATTAAAAGACTTTGCAAATATATTAGACTGAAGTGAACAGACAGAAACATATTTAACTTTCATCCTCACCTCTCCAAAACCCCAAATCCCACTTTTGCCCTGTATGTCAAAGAAGGCACAACATTCCAATAAATTAGAAGTCTTAATGTTTTAAGCCTACACATACTTACCTGAGAATAAGTTCCAACTGAATTCAGTAGGATTTACTGCTGAATAAATATGTGTAAGATTGCCCTGTAAAATACTGTGCCATGGGATTCTTTCGGCTGGGTCATGGCCCCTTGAAAATATTAAAGAAAACAAGCCACCCTGTGTGTGGCTCCCAGATTGTCTACTTGCTGTTACCTAATTAGCACAGAAAGAAGCTGTAATGCTGCCAGAATACCTCCCACTGCTGCCTACATATTTTTATTTATTTATTAAAACATTTTTATGCCGCCCCATTTGCCAAAGCCTCAGGGCAGCTCACATCATCAGTTAAAATAATTATAATATAAATTAAAAATATAAATATTAAATTAAAATACAGCAATACAGTATAAAATAAGCCGCCCTGGCCAAATAAAACCAATAATGTTAACAGTTAAAATGCCGCTTGAATAAAAAGGTCTTTGCCTGGCGCCTAAAAACAAATAACGACGGCGCCAGACGGACCTCTCTGGGGAGCGCGTTCCATAACTTAGGCGCCACCGCAGAGAAAGCCCTCCTCCGAGTACCAACCCTCCATGAAAGAAATTAGGAGGGTGGGTACTCGGAGGAGGGCT